CCCCCCCCCCCGCTCCCGACTCGATCGGCCCGGGGACCCTGCCAGCGCCGGCCCAAAACCGCACGCTGTCTAGCGGGTCCGGGGCCCCCTGCACCCCGCCCGGAGCCAGGGCAATCCATATCCTTCTCTCCGGGGTGCGTGCTCCGTGTCTCCGGGGCCCGCCACAACCATGATTCCACACCCCCCGCCGCCCCCTTCCCCGGCCGACTCTCTTGGACGGGTGCAAGACCGCAGGCATACGGACGCGGGTGTGGCCTATGCCGGAGATGCCGGGGCATGGTGTGTTATCTGCCGAAGATGATGTCGGGTTCTCTCGACCGGGGTGAAACAGCTTGGTTCTGGCATGTGATTCTGGAGGACCGGCGGCGGTCTCCCCGAACCATCCAAAGCGCTCTGTCCCGAGAGAGGGTCGCCCACCGCCTGGACAAAGGAACAACAACCACGAAAAGGGCAAAGCTGCTGATCCGCATCTTTGTCGGGAGCACATCAAGGACTGGGCCGCGTCGCTCCTGGGCGGAGCCACGTACGGAGACAGGGCGACCGAAGTCACGGTCTCCGAAAAGAGAATGACCATCCTTCAGGCTGCTGTGCCCTTGGAGGGGAGGCGAGAGGAGGGAGTCTCCACCCAGGGAGACCCCCCCCCCCCCGGGCGAGAGGAGGAGATACACGGGGAGAGGCCGGGGAAATGGGGATTGGTGCGGATCACACCGCGGAGGGGCGACACTGGCACCTTCCTCAGAGAGGAGGAGGAGGGAGGAGGCAGATGGATCTCCTCACGCTCTGATCACGCGAGCAGTGACCAGATTCGGCGGCGAGGCGCGGATATGTGATCATGTGCAGGGTTCCGCCGACACGTGGCTAGGCGTGTAGTGGAATCCCAGGTAACCATAAATCAAACAACATGTGAACACTCTCTGCGCGTGTCACAGCGCGGGATACCAACATGGAACAGCATTCCTCGAGGAGGAATACACAATGGGCAGCTGTGGAGGAGCATCGGCAAGTGGGTGAGGGCCGCAGCCTTATGCACCTACGTTGGAGCGCTCGTCTAAGCGCTGGCAGTCGTCGTATCACACGGCATGTCACGAGCGCAGGGCTTTACAGGCGGCGAGGCGACGGCCGGTGCGAGCAGGGCCGAGCGGGGCGAGGCGGGCGCGGAAGAGGTGACATTGTGGTTACATTGGGCGACAGGACCTTGGAGGGGGGAAAAAAAACAACAACAACAACGAGTGAGGGAGAGAGAGAGAGAGAGAGAGAGGGCGAGAGCAACCGGGCAATAATTATCCTCCGATTTTCGGCTCATACCCATTCGGGGGACATGCTGCATGAAAATGGCCCCACGCGCTTGAATGGGCGAGAGGGCGCTTTCCGGCCGGCCGGCCGGAAGGAGGTGGCCGCAGGCCCCGAGGCCGCCATTCGCCCTGCGCCCTGGGCCGAGCTCGCTCGCGAGTCGGGGTAGGTCCGCGCGGCGCCTATTTATATGTGCCAGCCGCAGGCCCCTGGTGCTGGGCATTCGCCCCCGACCCCCGTGCCGTGTGTGCTCTGTGAGCGTGTGTGTGTGTGTGTGCTCTGTGAGCGTGTGTGTGTGTGTGTGTGTATGCGTGTGCGTGCGCACGCATGCGTATGCCTGCCGTCGAGTCGGCGCCCGCACACACGCGCGTGTGTGTGTCACGTCCGCATCCCCCGCCTCCTTCCCCCCCCCCCTGCTCTGGCGCCGAGCGCGGCATTATTCTCGGCGCTTCGATGCGGCCTTTCCCCCCGAGGGCGGGGGGAGCCGGGCCACGCCGCCACCGCCGTGCTGCCAGGTATACCCGAGAGGGGGGGGGGGGGGGAGCCGCGCGGCTCCACCTTCCAGGAAGACGCCGGGCACGCGGTAGGGGCTTCGGCCGGGGATCCCTCGCCGCCCCCGGTCCTGCCCCGGCCCCCGGTGTCGGCCCCGAGGCGGGAGGGCGCCCTTTTCCTGGTGGACCCAGGGGCCGGCCCGAGCCAGCCCCCTCTCCCCGGCTGAGGAGCCGCTTTCCCGGCGCGCGCGCGCGCGCGCGGGGGAATGCCCACGTCTCAAGGGGACCCGGGATCATCTGCTGGGGCCCGCCGTAAGCCGACCCGGCTTGCCAGATAGACGCACCACAGCTCGCCACCTGCCCCGCTGCGCGACGGCCCCAGGTGCGCGGCGGTTGACTGTGGCTCCTTGCCCGGCCCCGTCTGCCGGCTTGGGGGGGGGGGGGGTTCGCCGGCCGTCCGGCCGCGCGGCCGCCCCGCCCCCGGTACCGACCACCCCTGCCGGCTGGCCGCGGGCATGAATCATCCCCCCCCCCCAACGGGCGTCTCCCGCGGGCCCGGGGGGGGGGGGGGACCGGCTCGCACACGAGAGCGCCGCCCTCTGTCCCAGTTCCGATGGCCGGCACGTCCCGCCCCCCGGCCCGGGCGTAGCAGCAACCCCGGTGTTTCTGAAACAGGGCGACATTCGACCACCGATGGGGCCGGGCTGGCGCCAGTGTATCAAGGTGGGAACTTCCGCGAAACGGTTCCGGCCGGCCCGACTCCTCGCCTCCCCCCCTCCCCGTCCCGAGCGGGCCGCGCCGGGGGAGAGGGGGCGGCAACCGCCGTCCCTGCTGGGGGCCGCCTCGCCGGCAGCACCGGAGAGGGTGTCCACGCCGGCGGCGCCCGGCGGCTCGCTGCTCACCCGCCGTGCCCGCCTCGCCCCCCCCCCCCTGTGGCCGGTGGGGCGCTTGGCCGACGCGCGAAACAGCCGACTTTGCCATGTGTCGGGGCCGCCGGCCCGGACAGCCAGCCGAGCCTTTTTGCCCCAGGGGCCTCCCGTTTGTGCGGAGTTTCCAGCCCCGCGGAGAGCGGCGGGCGGGGGGGGCGGAAAAAGGGGCTCGCCGGCTCGTGCGGGAGCGGGGGCGCTGAGTAAGGTTGTGCCCCAACCAGGCGCGATGGGCCCCCAGTTGAGTGGGCCCGCGCAGCCTACGAGACGGATGGCGGGGAGGCACGCGCCGGCACATTCACACACGCGCGTGCGCACGCATACCTCCGGCAGCCGCTGTGGGCGACTTGGCATCCGGGGCCCAAAGCGCCGGGCCGTTTTAGCCGCCTGGCCCTGCCTGGTTCGCCCGGTATCCCGCGCCCTCCCGGGCCCCGGGAGGGCGCTGGCTAACTTTGCATCTGGCTCAAACGCCACGGACCGGTGCAGGGCAAAAGCGCCGGCTGCGGGGGGCGCCAGAGTGGGAGGCCTCCGAAGCCGAGGGCACCGGACTGCAAGCGGGGCCGTTGCGCTTTTCTCGCCCGCCTGTCTGCCCGCATGTTGGGCCCGGCTGCACGTGGCGGCGGGCTCTCAGTTCCCCACGGTCTCCGTCGCCCCGTGTGGCTGTCTCCTTCGCGCTTTGGCTGCCGTGCGGCCCCTTTCACGTCGAATGTCCCATTTGCAGCGAGGGGGGGGGGGG